AAGTGGTGTCATCTGCATTCATTCTACAGTGTAGGTCTATGCTATCATATGCATATAAGTCTTGGGCCCTTTCCACACAGTTGAATTAAATCCCACATTATCTGCTTTGAACTGGAATATATGGCAGTGTGGACTCAGATAACTCCGTTCAAAGCAGATATTGTGGGATTTTCTGCCTTGATATTCTGGGATATAGGGCTGTGTGGAAGGGCCCTGGATCAGTGAAAGCTTATGTCCTCTCCTCTCTGTCTCAAAGTTGCTATGAGATTTCTTTATATACTGATCCATTGCATCAGTTCGATAGAGATTAGTTTACAAACATTCAGGCCCCTTCCACAAAGCTGAATAAAATCTCACATTTTCTACTATGAACTGGAATATATGGCAGTGTAGACTCAAGATGATCCAGTTCAAAGCAGATATTGTGGGATTTTCAGCCTTGATATTCTGGGTTATATGGTTGTGTGGAAAGGTCCTTATTCTCTGTCTCACAATCTGAAAGGCACTATAAGATCCCTTTACATACTGATCCAGACTATCACAGCTATACCTCTGAAGGATAAAATAGGGCTAAAACCCTGATTATAAAAAATTGCAAACACAATTTAAAACAGAGGCCGGGATGTTGCATTATGGCTGTGATTAAAATGATGGAACTCTGCCATTGTAATTAGGTAAAGCTAAGTCCAGTCGTGTCCGACTCTGGGGGTTGGTGCTCATCACTAGTGTTGTCCGTAGACACCTCCAAGGTCATGTGGCCAGCATGACTTCATGGAGTGCTATTACCTTCCTGTCAGAGCGGTACCTATTGATCTACTCACATATACATGTTTTCTAACTGCTAGGATGGCAGAAGCTGGAACTAACAGCAGGAGCTCGTGCCACTCCCCGGATTCGAACCTGCGACGTTTCGGTCAGCAAGTTCAGCAGCTCAGTGCTTTAACCCACTGTGCCACTGGGGGCAATTATGATTTCCGATATTCTCTAACCGATTGTTTTAGTCTTGCAGTGTCCTAATGGAAGTGTTTCTAGGGTGTTGGAGAATGGGAAGCTGGGGAGTAATGTCTGCAGAGCCCTTCTAGTCATGGGGTGCCTTAAGGAAAGGCTGCTGGAGAAACCCCTCGGAGTTCCTGTAGCAACAGCTTGTCCAGAGGCACATTATGACCAGAAGCGCAATGCAGACATTTTGGGAGATATGTTTGCTCGTTCATGACTATAAACACGAATCTCAAAAACACAATTAAATCCAACTTACCATATCGTAACTGCTGAACAAGATGCCAGTTACTATTAATCGAATGATACAGTCATTTAAAAACTGTAACAGTGAAGGTAAGAATCCAGTAACACCCCCCAAAGACCCGTCTGCACAACCAATTAATCATTAAATGCCTTTTCCATAAAACGATTGAGTAGAGGAATCTCAGGACAGGACCACTGATTTGAAAAGAAATACATATTAAACACTGTGTGCTGCCATATCTCCTGCTGCTGTTGTAGCAGTTGCTATAGACTCTGGGAGTTAATGCTTAATGTATCATGCTTAATGACATCATTAGGATCCATCTGTCTGTGACATCACCAAGGGTTTTCTCTAGACCTTAAGTGCTGGTGTTAAAATCTCAGGAATTTGGATGCTGCTGACCTAGCAAGCCTAGAAAGAAAACAGAAATTTTAAACAAAATTGAGATAGAAGACTATAGGGAGAACAGGAGAGACAGAATCAGAAAATTGGAGAGTCCAGTGCAGACAATCACCCCCCCCCCCCATCAATTCTTATCCTTTCCCAAACATGTTTTTTGTTTTGTTTTCAGTTTTAGCATGGCACCTTTGGCATGGGATCTTTGACATTATTCCATTCATATATCCCATTTGTACATCAAAATTTAAAAAGTTACTTTTTTGAATTGTAATGCTTGGAACTCTAGTTGCAAACTTTAAGTAATTCAATCACATTTCTCCTCTCCTTTACGCACTTACCTGTAACCTCATATTTGTATGTTTGTAGTACCCATTTGGCTCACTCCAGTGCCATTGTTTTGCAGCTGGACTTTCCCTGCAAGCCATTATTTTGCCATTGCTTCCAGATAGTAAACTTCTGGGTTGCAATAAAACACAAATGTTGGTAGCATAAATCCTGAAGATTATCCACCCCCCATCATAAGCCTGAGTGTGTATGTGCCTTCAAGCCTGTTGATTTATGGTGACTCTATGGCTTGCAGCATCTGATATTTACTGGAAACCTCCAATCCAAGTACTAACCAGAGTTTACCCTGCTTAGCTTCCAAGATTATACTGAGTCTGATACCTTTAGGCTGTGTTTCTTTAGATCGGCAAGAGCTTCTGAACACCTTTCCAAGGAAGCCCCACATAGAGCATGTTGCTGTAACTCTTGCTGTTGCTTTGAAGTCGTATAACCATGAGAAGGCAGAGAAAGCCGCTGATACATTAATTAATCTAAAGTTACATATCTTTGGTGGTAGCAAATGACTATACTGTAAATGCTCATTTATTATTACAGATGCAAAGTTCAAGTATGACTATGATTTGCATCGATACACAGTCATCCCTCCACATTTGTGGTTTTGACTTTTGTTGATATGATATTCACAATCACAGACTTGGAAGAGATCATGCAGGCCATTCAGTCCAACCCCCTGCCATGCTGTATATTATTTATGGGGAATTTCAAGGCTCTTGTTTCCCCATCTTAATTGGACTGGAGACTCAAATGCAGGACAATGCTTTAGAGGATTGCTTTCTGCAAATCAGGGCATGCAACCACACTGCCAAACACATATGAAACCTTGAAATAATAAACAAGCACATGACAAAAATGAGGGGGGGGGGAACCTAAGTGTTGGCGTGTTCTGGCAAATTATTTTATCTTAAGTACTTTGGCTCGCCATGCTCCTTGAGTATTTTTGGCTTGCGGAAGCAGAGAAGCGAGGCAGCTAAAAATAGGACTCCCCGGTTGCTTGCCCCACAGTGACTGGCCATCCATCTGTTTTGTGGGGGTGATATGCGGAGGGTGTGGTGTCGAGGGGAGCAAGTGTGGTTTCCACCCTTGAGCTGTCTGGCGTTGCCTTTGTTTGTGTCCCAACTCTTATGAGGACAGGAAAAGGCCTGGAGGCTGAGAAACAATGCCTTATTCTGCTGGAGTCAATGCCTGGTGCTCAGTGATAGGGAAGCGGGCAAGTGGCCAGCCTGCTGGCATTGGGTCTCCAGCTCCCCCATTCCTCCCCATAGCTGTACCAAAGTGGGAAGGGAAGAACAGTGATTCATACCTTGTACGTCACACTCCATGCAAAGCAAACAGTAGTGTCCCCTTTATCACCAACTGTGCAGTATGTTTTATAGGTGAATGTGTAGAAACAAGAGAAGAATCAAGTTACTGGTTAAAATAGAGGATGGCCTCCATATCTATGGTTTAATTTACCTATGTCTACTAAAATATGTCCTCCCCAGGCATTTTCTTAGGTCCTCCAGCACAATTCTCTAATATTCTCGGGCCAGAAATCCTTCATTTCAATAATGTATGCTATTCGTATGGGTTTTTTTTTGTGTCAGGAGCGATTTGAGAAACTGCAAGTTGCTTCTGGTGTGAGAGAATTGGCCATCTGCTAGGATGTTGCCCAGGGGAAGCCTGGATGTTTTGAGGTTTACCATCCTTGTGGGAGGCTTCTCTCATGCCCCCGCATGGGGAGCTGGAGCTGACAGAGGGAGCTCAACCCATTCTCCCTGGATTCGAACCACTGACCTGTTGGTCATCAGTCCTGCCAGCACAAGGGTTTAACCCACTGTGCCATTGGGGGCTCCAATGCTATTAGTTGAAGCTTTACATATACAATACACATGAAATCTGGGAACATAACACACAGATATGGAGGCTGTACAGCAAACAAAAGCAAGGGTGGGTTACCTTGGCCCAATTTCACTCTATCTCTCTCCTTTTCTTTTTTCTTTTCTTTCAGCAATGACAAACAAAGCAATCCATACTACTCGATTCCCTAAAATTAACAATATGTTCATGAATATGTTCCTGAGTATTCCTCCTTTAACAGAACATTTAGTGCCAGAGGCAGAAATAATACGGAAGGAATAGGACTAAGTTCCTGCACCACCTGAAAGACCTGTTGCAGCAAACATTTTATCCAAAACTAACAATAAGCACATGTGACATGAAACAATCAGGTCAGGTAAGTATTGGATAAATAAACAAAATCATTTTCGAATTTTTCTAGGGACCACTTGAAACATTATTTTAATAGAATCATTGATTAATTGTTACTTTACCTTTTGAAAATTAAGAGTTTATCCAAATGCTTACTTTACATTATTGTAACACTCTTTGGGCTCCAAGCTGGGAGAAAATCAGACTATATGGTAAGATTCTCATAACCATGAAACCCATATTCATGGTTTCCTTAACTGTTCCCAGAGAAACATGGGCCTTCTAGAAATTTCCCCTCTACACCCTTTGGAGCACTATTTTGGCATATTAGTGATCTAGCTTCATAGCTGATTTTTCCTAATCTTGGGAGGGTTTTTTGGCAGAGGAGTAATCCATTGCATTTGCAGCCAGTTTTGCTCCTGGGTATGAGAGGTTCTCATTTTCTGGTATTTAACCCATAGCTCCAGTTTGTTGGTCTCCTAAAATGGAAAAAAAGATTCCCTTTTTAGGAGGCCTTAAAAAATAACTGGCCACAACTAGAATCTCCCCAAGCGGTCATTGACTGGTCAGACAGAGCAGATAGATTTTTGCCGCCCAAAGTTTTTATGCTTTTGAAAGGATAACTGGCTGGCCGTTGACCGCAAAGGGCATGTGGGTGGTGGGGGAAGAGAGAGGGTTGTTAGACTTTGCACCAAAGGGACCTCTTTCTAAGCCTCCTCTCAAGGTCTCCAGTGCATAAGGCTGGATTCCTGCCAGAGAGCGCCTTGTTTACTCAACCGGGAGCTGACACGTTCAAGGTCTCTGCCGACTCCACTTTCCCACACGCAGCTTGCTGACTGCATTCCTGGCTGAGGGGACGCAGCAGAGCCCAAGAATGTGAGGGGGCTTCTTTCAAGGCACCCTGTGGCATTTCGTATCCATCCTACACTGGTCGGCTGAGATGGAGGGCATGTGACACACAAGCAGTGTCATGAGGTCTGAATTCACAGGAGCCCTTGTGTTGCTGAGATGACGCCAACAAGCAATACGCTTGTTATTGGGCAACTATGGCCTCTGTCTTGTGCCATTGGCAGGCCAGTCTCTGCTCTAGCAGCTTTGGACACTTTTAAACCAGTCCCGTCATTTGAAAAAACTCCTTGCTTGCCCTCTCACTTGCTCTCAAGTTTAGCCTTTGTACTGGGCAATGGGCGTTTTTGAATGTATTCACATGAATCAACATACTGGTAGGCTATGGTTTTCATATTTTATCTTCTCCAACATACTTGTGATGTCTTCACATTACACAAATTATAGCAGTTTGATTCCACTTCAACTAATTTGGCTCTATCTCTTTGAAATCTAGGATTTGTGGTTTGTTAAGATACTTATGGTGGATCTGCTCTGTAGAATTAAGGTACTCTGCACCACTTTAATTTCCATATATACATCAGTTAATGAATATGTTCCTATGGAATCCTGAGAGTTGTAGTTTAGAATCATAGAATCATAGAGTTGGAAGAGACTGCATTGGCCATCAAGTCCAACCCCCTGTCAAGAAGCAGAAAAATTGCATTAAAATCACCCCTGACAGATGGCCATCCAGCCTCTGTTTAAAAGCCTCCAAAGAAGGAGCCTCCACCACACCCTGGGGAAGAGAGTTCCACTGCTGAACAGCTCTCACAGAAAGTTCTTAATGTCCAGGTTGAATCTTCTTTCTTGTAGTTTGAAGCCATTGTCCCGCATCCTAGTCTCCAGGGCAGCAGAAAACAAGCCTGTTCCCTCCTTTCTATGACTTTCCTTCACATATTTATACATGGCCATCATGTCTCCTCTCAGCCTTCTCTTCTTCAGGCTAAACATGCCCAGCTCTTTAAGCCACTCCTCATAGGACTTGTTCTCCAGACCCTTGATCATTTTAGTCACTCTTCCCTGGACACATTCCAGCTTATCAACATTTCTTTTCAATTGCGATGCCTGGAACTGGACCCAGTATTCCAGGTGTGGTCTGACCAAGCAGAATAGAGGGGGTAGCATGATTTCCCTGGATCTAGGTACTATACTCCTGTTTATGCAGGCCAAAATCCCATTGGCTTTTCAAGCTGCCGTATGACATTGTTGACTTATGTTTAACTTGTTATCAATGAAGACTTCAAGATGTTTTTCACACGTACTGCTGTTGAGCCAGGCATCTGCCATTCTGTTTTTTTGTATTTCATTTTTTTCTGCCTAGTGAAGCATCCACATGATTTGGCAGACAGGAATAAAAATCTCCTAAAACTACAACTCCCACAACTTCATAGTATTGAGCCATGCAGTTTAAAGTGGTGTCAAACTGTGATAATTCTATAGTGTCAATGACCCCCGGAATTAACGGCTGGAAAGCTCTAGTCTACTTCCCTGAACTATAGTTCTAGAGCTCTCCAGCAGCAATTTCTAAGTACACCTCACTGACTGAACTGCAAGTCCCTAGATTCTATTGGGCAATGGAAAGCTGTGAGCTATCAAATTGCTACCATTGTGTAGTGTGGATATTCTCACAATCTACTGTATTCTCAATGGATACAGAAAGACTCATTTTTATTTTCTTGAAATCATTTAAGGAAGGAAATGTGCTGTACTCCATGAAAACCTTTTCAAAATAATGGTATTATGTCTTTTGTGGTGCTGCAGGCTTTTTAATGTTTTAATGTTTTTGCTGCAATAGCTTAACATGCTACTCCCACTCCCAAAATAAGCTCAGAGGCCCACAGTGAAGTTAGTACTACAGATGAGAAGGTTATTATTTATCAACTCATTTACTGTGAAGCCTTTATATTTAACACTGAGTGTGCTTTTCACAGGTCAGACTGACCTATGTGTCAGCCAGTCACTGGATGTATTTACAAGCTGTTAAGCTAGATTTTTTTGACCACATTGTTATGCTTACATCAGTTGCTGCTTCTGATAAAACTTCGTATTAAGTAGAAGGAGGTATTAAATCAACAATTATGAGAGAGAGCTACTCACTCATCCTCCATTATGTTCACTTTCTGGGACAGATAGTAAACCCCATTTTCTGTGTTCTTGTTGTGTGCCTTCAAATTATTTCCGACCTAAGGCAACCTTAAAGTGAATTCATCACAGAGTTTTCTTGGCAAGATCTGTTAAGAAGAGGTTTGCCATGGCCTTCTTCTGAGACTGAGAATGTGTGACTTGCCCAAGGAAAACTGAATTTTATTTCAGATCAAGCTTTTTCTCCTGGTGGCCTGGTCTTGTCTTCTTTGACTGGCAACAACTGGCAACAACTTTGTAAAGTCTCTGGTGGGACTCACATTCAGACCACAACTTTCAGAATCCTGCTGATTGAATGATTCTTAGAGATTCACAAACGCTGACCCTGCTACCTGCTTCTTTTGAGTGATGAAGCCAGGGACTGAGGCTGTTATTTCCTAATTCACTAATCATTGTGACCAATCACTCAATTCATCCCTTACTGGGTCTTCTTTGGGACTGGTGCAAGGTTGCCCACATCCCATTTTTAAGTTTCTCTTTCTGATTTCCTATTCTCTGTTCAACAAAGCATATACCCTGTATTGTTTTATTCCACTCACAATGGCTGTATTCCAGCCTGGAGATTTTATATTATTGAATAGAACAATAAACAGCATTGCTGAGGTCTCTAGCTCATTTGCTGCATGGATCTTTCTGCTACTGGATAAAATCCTCCATCAGGGATGCAGAATGTAATATTTGGTGTGTGCAGTTCTGTTCCTGCCTATCCCTGACAGTTGTCCAAGTTTCATGGGGTACTACCATGGCTGTTTAATGGCTGGGGATGGAAGGAAGGTAATCAAGCAGTGCACACTGTGGCTTGCCCCTGCTATAATTCTCCAGGAAGAGAAAGAAGTCACTTTCCTGGACAATTTGCTATTGGGATATACCCAGACCCAAGCCAACTCTTTTTGCCTAGCTTGAGAAGAAGTTACTGCCCCACAACCACTACTTTTCGAGGTTTTCCAGGACCTGAGTGCAATACCCGAACCAGTTATTTGTTGAGGTACTGGAGCCAGTCCAAGAGCTCTCAGTAGCTTATATTTATTTGTTATGTGCTTCAGGTCGTTTCCAATCTATGGTGATCCTAAGGTGATTCTGTTACAGGCAATGTTTTCCTGCCAATATTTGTTCAGAAGAGATTTGCCATTGCCTTCCTCTGAAGCTGATTGAGTTACCAAAGGGCATCAAATTTGTGAAGCCGCCTTGAGCCCCCTCTGGGATGAAAAAAGTGGGGTACAAGTATGGGAAATAAATAAATAAATTCAGTGGTTTTATGGATGAGCGGGGATTCAAATCCTGGTCTCCAGACTCATAGTCAGAGCACTACACACCCTGTGTATACCCAGGGAAATAATATTTCACAAGTAGGGACTGAATTTCTTCTTGCATAGTGTTTTAAAAGCACTCCTGATGCTGTAACTGAGGATTACAGCAAGTTTCAAGCCTCTGCAGTCTCAAACTGGGACCTTTTGCTTGCAAAGTGTGTGCGCCTGTTATCACATTGCAGCCTTACCCCAAAGAGAAAAGGACCAGAACGGAAGAGCTGCATCACAACCAGAATAGGAAAAGAGTTTGCTTCTCATGTAAACAGTTTATGCTTGTCTTGCCAGTCCCACCTCATTCTTTCTGGAACACATCCTCAGCTGGCACCCTGTTAGTGATATACACAAGAATGAGCCACACTGCACATATAGTTGTGTTTTTATGGATAGCATGTAACACTCATATCCAGTGGGTGGTGATAGAAATGTAGTGCCACATGCAGAAGTGCTGCCTATGAAATTGTGCATTCATTCTTAAAGAATAGCGTTGCCATAGCTGTTATATATATCCAAGTCAAAGGAAGTTATACTCCCACTGTATGCTACACTAGTGTAACCTTATAGGGAGTACTGCATCCAGTTTTGCACACCTCATTTTAAGAAGCTTATAGAGAAGTTGGAGCAGGTTCTGAGAAGCGCAATAAGGGGATACGGAGAACAAAATATATGGGGAAAGATTGAGGAATTTGGTCATGTTCACTCTGGTGAAGATAAAACTGAGGATAACATGATTGGACTTCTTAAATGTTTTAAGGGTTACCACAGAGAAGAAGGTTCAGGTTTGTTCATTGCTGCCCTAGAGGATAGGATCAGGGGCAACAGAGAACAAACTTAAAATGTAAGTAAATGGCAAGAGCTGTCTTTCAGTTAAACATTAGAAGGAACGTCTTGATGGTAAGAACAGTTTGACAATGGAACCAATTACCTAGATAATTGGTTGGGTCTCTTTCCTTGGCTATCTTCAAAAAGATGCTGGATGTTCTAGCTGTTGGATGCAGAATGATGGGTGGGCTTCTCAGAGGGTAGTGTGGAAGAAAGGATCAGAAGACTCATAGAGTTGGAAGGAGCCCCATAAAGGATCGCTAGGTAGAGCATTCCCAGCAGGTAGCTGTTCAGCCTCTTTTTGAAGACCTCCAGATGAGGAGACTTTATCACCTCTCTAGTCAATTGGTTCTACTGCTGAACTGCTCTCACTATCAAGACATTCCTTCTAATGTTCTACTTTCTGAGGCGACTCTCGGAGAACAAGCCGGCAACCTCAAAAAAAATTCAGGAGTGCAATTGTGTCATCCCTCAGGTTTCTTTTTGCCAAGTTGATCATGCCCAGCTCCTTCAACCTTTCCACATATGTTTTATTCTCCATATGTCTTATCCTCCTCATTGTGCTTCTCTGGACCCATTCCAACTATCTTTCTCAAAATGAAGTGCTCAGAACTGATCACAGCACTTCAAATGAGAGCAGAATATATTGGGACTGTTATCGCTCTTGACTTGGAAACTATGGCTCTATTAATAGCATTCTTCCAAGATTTTTTTTTTTTAATTCCTGGCTGGTAAGTGGTTCAGAGAATATGTCAGCAAGTTTCTTCAGTATTCTCGGATGCAATTCTTCTGGTCCTGCTGATTTGAACTCATTTAGGTTAATTAATCCATTGACAGCAAGTGTGGTATAGTGGTTTGAATTCTGGAGACCAGGGTTGAAATCCCCATATAGCTGCAAAACCTATTGAAGGTTTTGGGTGAATCACGCACTCTCAGCTTAAGAGGAAGACAAAAGCAACCCCCCTCTGAACAAATCATGCTAAGAAATCCCTGTTACAGGTTTGTCCTTGAGTTACAACAAATTGGAAATGACTTGAAGGCACAGAACAACAACAAGGTTAATTAGGTGATTCCTGACTTGCCAATGTGATTAGGTGATTTCTTGCCAAGGTCTCTTTTTAGACTGAAAATACTGAAACTAAATAAGGGTGTAGCAGCTCTGCCTTTTCACCATCCTTGCTAAGAAGTGGAGTCCAAGTCTTTTTGATCAAGCCCACCCACCCAAAAAAAGGGAAGGAAGAAGCATTCTCTTTACAGTTTTCTTCAAAAATATTTGGAACCCTCCTTTCTATTTCTTCCTGCTTCTGTATCCAGTCTCCATTCATTTTGAGCTTTAACTTTCTTTATACCATTCTTGCAGGCTCGGGCTATATATTTGTAGTCTGCCTTGGTGGTTTGTGCTTCTTTTCATTCTTTATACATGCTCTTCAGTCTTTCTTTCACTTCCTCATTGAGTTTGCTGTGGAGCCTCATTGGTTTTTTCAGATGTTTCTCATTTTCATCTTCCATGGAATCATTTGTGATTGTGTTTTTAGCAACTCCCTCTTCATTAACTCCCACTTTTGTAGGATGTATTTTTTGCTTTAGCATCTCTAATCATGGAGGATTCTACCCCAAATTTCCTTCATCTTGATAAAATCAGATTTCCTGAAATCTAAGATCCTTCTTTGCCCTATCTGACAACCAAGAATTTTAGCATTACATTATCATTTCCTTCTAAAGTGCTAGCAGCTTAGAAGGGAAGGTGTCATGCTTATTTGGACTTAAAAGTATAGCAGGAATGCCTGGGTTAAAACCTGGCAACTTGAGCTCCATGTTGGGCCAACAGTTGCCTGCTTTCTGCCAAGCTTTCTACTTTGGCCTGGACTATTCCCTTCTTTCTTGGCCTTCTTGTGGCTTTTACATTTTTCCTGCCCATTGGCGTGGACTTTTGGAACTGAACCCAGCATGGCTTTTATACTATAATTACTTCTATTCGTCTTGGTTAAAATAGTCTTCTTAGATATGATCCACAATTTCCTTTAAAGCTTTTCCTCTAATCCCAGGATACATGGACTCAGAGGTTTCTTCTTATGTTCACAGGACACACAACACAGATATTGGAGAGCTTTGCTCTAGCAACATGGTTGGTAGTTGGACAGAAGTGATGGCGAGCCCGCCTGCAGCCCCTGCTTTCCAGCTGATCTGACCAGCTGCAGGGAGTTTCGCAGTTCCTGGATGCCCCGTTGGGCCAACTTTGATGAAATGTGCCCCAGCAGCAACCAAGGACTCTCTCTAACCTTGACCTCTCTCCTTTTGCTTTTCTCCCCAGCCCAAACATTGTAACAAACCCCTAATAAAGACTAATTGAATTGTAACTTATATCTCTCCATAGTGATACATTGTGTCCATTTCTTGGCTCAAAGGTATCAATTGCATGTACTCATGCTTTTCCGGGCCGCAGGCAGCCGACGGCCCGCCTGGGATGCCTTCCAGGCGTTCCAGGGAGGCCGAATCTGTGTTTCTTTAAACCGCGGATACGGAACCCCCTCGGGCCCCTGTATCCACGAGTTAACCAAACGACTCCATTTTGGTGCCATATTTTTCCCAGCCCAATTCTAACACTAACTGCTATCTCACTTTTTGCATTTCGGACTCCTGCGCTCTGGGAATAAACTTTTTGTTTTTAAGAATATATTAAATAAACAGCTGATTGTCAAACTGGGCTTCCTGCTGCTGCTCTGCTCCCGCCATCGCTTCTTCGTCCTTTTGGAGCCCCAGGACCTGGGGAACTTGATGTGGTTACCCCATGAGATCCTCGGGAAGTGGACTTGCCATCCTCACTCCGGACCCCAAAGGGAGATGTAGTTCTCTTCGGACCAAAGGGCAAGCTCCAGCCGCAGCAATGCAGAGCTCCATATCCTGGCTCAGTAGACTTACCAAGCAACTTCTTATGATTTTTTTGAACCCTTTTTGCTCCACATCAAGGACTCTCTTTCCCATTATGGACATTTTTTCTTCTATGGACCTTCATATAAATATTATGAACTATGGACATATACTGAACCATGATCAAGGCTCTTATCAATTTCACTATGGAATTCGAGGGGGGAGGGATAAGTGGGTATGTTTTCTGCACTATGATTTCTATATTTCTCTCTATGTATCTGACCTTTGCCTGACCCTTCTGCCCTATTCCCTTTTATAAAAAATGTATAAAAATATAAAAAGCCACCCTCAGTGACCCTGGGAAGAAGGAAATCTCCTGTTTGAAAAAAACCTTATCAAGAGACCTATTTGCATGGACAATACAATGGGCAGTGATCCTGGGGTTCAGAAGGTGCCCACTTGGCATAGATGATCATATCTCGCCAGGACAAAGGGCCTTCAGAAAGCCACACTTTGTCCTGATGTGTTTGCTCATTCAAGTCTCTCTCAGTCGATACTTCAGCCAAAATTGCCTCATTGTTCCCTTATCTCGGCACCAAGAAAATCCGGATTTTGGCAGGCTTGCCAGACTTCAACGTTGATTGCCACCCATCAGAGACAATAGACTGGCTGGCTAGAAGGTCCCTGAGGACTCGCCGGCTGTTTGGACACTCCATATCTCCATAATCCACTCAAGAATTCATTGTTTCCCTCTCATCCTACCTCCCTTTCTCCTGATTAGCCAGGAAGCCGAGGCGGCAGGAGCTCATTGATTGGCCGGGGTACTCAGGAGGCAGCCAAGCCTCCTCCCAGCTGTACAGTGCCAGCCAATCAATGCCAAGCTGGCTGAGGGGCGGGGAGTGGGAAATTCAAATCTGACAGCTCTGTTTTATGTATAAAAAGGCTTTATTTTGTGTACACTGTATGCTTTGCTCAGCTTTGCATCCTTTCCAGCTGGATCACAATAAAATCAACTCGGTGCACTTCCTTCAGCTTTGGTGAGATTCTTTTGGAAATTTAGGGAAATCTTTTAATTGCGGCTTCTCCTTTCTTTTGCTCACCAAAGTAGCGAGCCCTCTTTGGTGGGTCCACAGGGTCTCTCCTCCAGGGCGAGACCCTCCTAAATTCCTCCTTGACTTCAGAAGTAGCAGGATCTTTTTGGTTTTTTTAAATACAGGAATCTGTTTTTGTGTTGCATAATAAATCACTCTTCTGTTTCATCCTTGCAACAGGACCCATGGGGAGACAAGGGTTAAAACATACCAGTATTCGCCTTTAGCAGATCATTGGAGAGAAAATGTTGGACAGTACATTGGAGAGAAGGCAATGAATCTAGACTTGTGGAGGAGGTAGCGGACCTCTCCTTTGAGGGCAATTTGGGTTGGTTTTTTTGTCCCTTGAGGTCTTACAAATCCACACCCTTCTGGGCATCAGCTTCTTCCTGGTAGTAAGAGGGCATGTTTTTGGTTTGTGCCTGTATCACCACAAAAGTGTATATGTGCATTTTTCCCCTAAGGAAGCAAAAACCTTACTCTTTACCAAAGGTGCCTTGAAAATGGATAAGAGTTGGCAACAGAAGGAAACCAGTTATTTATCATTCACTGATAAACATAGGACCTTTCCAAACAGGTCCTTTATCCCAGAATCTGATCCCACGTTTTTGGTTTATCCCAGATTATCTGACAGTGCGGACTGATATAATCCAGTTTAAAGCTGAAATCCTGGGATCAGATCCTGGGATATAGGGCTTGTTTGGATGAGCAATGGACATTCAAAGTGCATTCAACCCTCTTTTTTTTGTCTGTTGGGCAACCCAATCCACATTGCTGCCTGAGGCAAAGCACCAATGGCACATCTTCCCCACTCCCAGCTGCAAAGTACCCAAATGTGGTCATTTAGTGACATGTGGCAGGAAATCCCATAAGTGCCTGTCCCCTTCTATGACAGCAAAACAATAAGATATAGCTAATAATGTATTGTCAAAGGCTTTCATGGCCGGAATCACTGGGTTGTTGTAGGTTTTTCAGGCTATATGGCCATATTCTAGAGGCATTTTCTCCTGGTGTTTCACCTGCATCTATGGCAAGCATCCTCAGAGGTAGTGAGGATGCTAGCCATAGATGCAGGCCAAACGTCAGGAGAAAATGCCTCTAGAACATGACCATATAGTCCGAAAAAACCTACAACAACCCATATATAGCTAACACTTTGCTGAAGTGAATAGCATTTCTAATCTGCTGCCTCTGATGGCTCCCTCACCCTGCGATATGGAAGGGCCAGCCCTGTCTATCGGCAAGGAAGGAAGAAACAGCAGAAAAGGGAGGCTTGGCGACAGCCACTGCACGTAGCTGTGCAACTCCTTCCATTCTGGATCTGTGTATACTAAACGCCTTTCCCCTCATTCAGCTGCCTTTCAAAATGGGATCTGAAGGGATGTTCTTCATTGTAAAGCATTTCAGAACATCCTGGTGCCATGAAACATAATGGATGTCTCTTATCGCAGACACAACCATCCCAGACTGTCCCCTTATTTTTATGCATTGTTATTGATGCTTTTGGGTTTCTTGCTGGAGCGAAGGGGCTTACAGCATCTGTCTCTGGCTGCCTTTTAAACTGCCACAGGAAATGCAGGGAGGTCAGGGGCCAGCCAGCAGTCTCTCCCTTGGGGGGCCCTGCCTGCACACACAACACAGGGACTTGTTTAACACTGAAGGAAAAGGGGGGGGGGGTAAGACCAGGCATTTCCTGTTTATGCGACTCACAGACCCCAAGAATAGAGAGGGAGGGAGAGCCAGGAACGGCTTTTGCTTGGCTGCAGTTTTAACCAAGAGCTATAATAGTTGCCTTGTGTGTCCCTGTCCCTTTGCTTTGACAGCAAGGCAGTCTGTCTGGCTCTTGCCAGCAGAGAGACTTCCTTGTGAAGGCAGGGGATCTGGAAATATACTACATTGCCACAAGGCTGTATTTAGGACCATTGGCACAACTGGATGAGTTTCTATGCAGTTCCTTAATGTGCATTTTTTTTCCTACCTGGAATGGTCCCACTAGTCTACAGGAGAGGCAGTTAAAGATTGCTAAAAAGGAGACAATGTATCATCAGAAATTCACCAGATGTCTGCATAAGTTCATTATATGTGTAGACCGCATATTTAATGCATTGTTCCTCTAGATCTCCTGTTGGCTTATGAGGACCCCATGAATTTCATAGGGTTTTGTTTGGCAAGGAATACTGAGGTGGTTTTGACAGTTTCTTATTCTGAAATATAGTCAACAACACCTGGCATTCACTGATATTCTCTTATCCAAGTAATAACCAGGACTGACCCTGCTTAGCATCGGAGATCAGACTGCATCTGATAACAGAGTATTTAAGGTTGGGCATCCCTTCAAGCAAGGACCCCCTGGTGGCACAGTCGGTTAAACCACTGAACTGCTGAACTTGCTGACTGAAAGGTTGGCAGTTCGAATCTGGGGAGCGGGGTGAGCTCCCGCTGTTAGGCCCAACTTCTGTCAACCTAGCAGTTCGAAAACATGGAGATGTGAGTAGATCAATAAGTACTGCTTCTGTGGGAAGGCAATGGTGCTCCATGCAGTCATGCTGGCTACATAGTAGTAATAGTAGTAGTAGTAACAACAACAACAACAACAACAACAACAACAACAACAACAACTTTATTTTATACCTCACCACCATCTCCCCGAAGGGACTCAGGGCGGCTTACAAAGGGACAAGCCCAAAATACAGAGTAAAAACATACACAATAAGATAAAATGAAAACAAATTAAAAACACAACAACATCATAAAAACAATTACAATCACAAGTACACATTTAATATATATATATAATGGCTGAAGATTAGGTGCTGAGTGCGGAGAGATCAGGAAATGTGCATGACCTTGAAGGTGTCTACTCTACAATGCTGACTCTTTGGTTTAGAAATGGAGATGAGCACCAACCCACAAAGTTGGACACAGCTAGACCAAATGTCAATGGAAAACCTTTACCTTTACTATCACTTCAAGCAGAGAAGAAGGCTTATGGTAAAGTAGTGACACATTGCCAACCAAATTTCAGGTTCTGCCTTTTATTGTGACTGGAATCATGTAGCCTTCCAGAATTCTCACGTCCCCTTTCCTACCCATTATTATGAATGTAGGCAAATGCCTTCTTGCAATTTCTGGTTGTTTGTAACAGTTTGATTTCCCTTACCTATTTTAAAGGTCTGTATTTCATGCTTCAGCAAGTTCCCAAATCACCTACAATTCTAAGGACGGCAACACATACATTCATGATGCCCCCCATGTGACTAAATATTTATTTCCTCAAACAGATCCTACTATTTATTTAATTTTAAAAATCAAAACCTGGTTCAGAATCTCAAGGGATAAATGTAAGTCTTATTGAGGTGAAAAAAACATGGGTGTTTATACTCAAGGGTTTCAGTGCA